AATCCTTTGATTCTTCTCCAGTTTTGGAAAATCACCAGGAAACCCTTTTAAAAATCAGTAACCTCTTTAAAACATGTATAGTTTTTCCCAAATGAATACTTCAAAATGAATAGTATAAAAATTAAAAATTTAAACCTTTTTTAAAAAAACATTTTTAAGCAAACATAAAAATTTTTGTTCTCATGGATGTTGCTTAAAAATTTTGCCTGTAGGTTACCTGTAGTTAGATATAAATAATTTTATAATTGATATGTTTTTACTTTTGTTTTTTATTTCTAGACAATTTTGAGACTGGTTAGAAGATGGGTGAAAGTGTGGCAAATTTAAGTGAGTCTATTCTTATTTGTTTTAGTTTTTTTAGAAAGTAAGTATCCCTTTTTGTCTAAAAAACTTTTGGAAGTTTTTTTTGGAATTTTCACTCATGTTTTGGGGTCCCCCTCAACCTCATAGCTTGAACGTTGCTCTATAACCTTTTATAAATTTGGTGTATTGATATTTTCTTATGTTTAAATATTTTCTAAAAGTTTGTGATGTTAGCAAAGTCCAATGGAAAACTAAGCTGGAATCAAAATCCAATGTAGTGCTTTAGGTGGGCATTTAACCTTAACCTGCTAGCAGTAGTTGATTATACCCATGCAACCAGTGCAGACCAAGAACAGCCATCTGATCATAGTCTACATTGTTTGCTTTTCAGTCAGTACATATTTTAAAATTTCCCCTGAAAGTGATGAATGGTTTTGTCCAGAATAAAAAATAGACAAGTTAATTTAGATATTTTGTGTGTTAAAAGTTGACATTGAAGAGATAAGCATATGAGGCTTAAGTCCATATGAAATGCTTAAAGTTTGTTGGATAATCTTAACAATGTTGATTACCTCCCTTAGCAACACTACCAAAACAAACTGAAAAAAAAGAAGAAAAATGATATGATAGTTACCAACTTTTCATTGTTATTTTTTGTTGATACAGGAAAGCTACTGTGGGGAAAGGTGCACAAGGAGGGAAAGGAAAGTATGAGTTAAAACCAGAATTTCTCTCCAGCTACAATCCTTACTTCTACCATTATACGAAGACAGATAAATCAAAGGTAAATATAATTATATATATGTATCATATATGGAACTGGGATAATTATAAACTGTATTTCTGATTTTTAAACTGTATAAATCTATATCTCATGGGATTTTTTAGTAAACGTTATAAACGGTTAAATAATGTTGTTTCCGTAATCTTATAGTAGATTTTCAAAGGACTTTACTTAAAATGTCTGTTATTTCACACACTTGAATATTGAATGTAAATGGAATGAAATGTTTCAGAACTAAATAATTATGCTGCCATTTTGAATAGGGTTCTGCCGTTGTAAGCTTGATACATTTAAAAAAAAGGGAAACTGATTCTACTTTTAACCCTTTTTTTTCCGTTTTTCATTATCCCCAAAATTTTGGATTTTAATTGATATGAAAATTGGACTCTTGTGTAAAGATTTCCAGTAGCTTTAGGTTGGTGATTATACTTGGAAGATTCTTGTGCCTGAATAATGCTAGAGTGCCCAGGGCTTCCTCAAACCCGTAAAACCTTGGGCTCCCTTTACCCTTTTCTGTGGTTTTGGGGTTACATTTAACGCACACCCCCCCCCCCCAGATTCCGCTAATTTCCATGAAATTTTTTTAAAAATGTTTTAAAGAAGAAAAATATTGTGAAGGGAACAAAGTAAATAATTTACACATTGCAAATGGCACTTACAATCCATTTAAATTACCAAAAAGAGGTCAAAATATGCACAAATAGCCCTAACTGCATTAGTAACACAGTAGAAATATGGTAAAAAATACTGCAAAATAGGTCATTTTAACAAATAACTTTGATTTTGAATCTTTTCACTTTTCTTAAAATCTCAGTGCATTTTCACAAGTTTGATTTTCTTGAAATATTTTTTTTGTTCATCTGGAGGCTTGCAGCTTTAACAATCATTTATAACTTTACAGTCGGAGGAAGCTCAGGTGAAGAGAAAGAAAGAGAACAATGAGAGTCAGGCTCTTCCCCCTCCAGTGCCTCCAAAGTTTAAGCCTCAGTTTGCCCCCATAATGACCCTTTTCTACATGTGAATTTTCCCCTGATCTACCTCATGGAAAATAATTTTTAAAAAAGAAGCAGCAGCTACAAGGTTTAAGGTTTATTGTCAGAGCCCGCTAAAAGAGGGGGAGTACGTTTTGAGGTATTATTTTTCATGGGGGAATAATTTGTGTTTTATTTATTTATAAGAATATGCTTACTTAACAATTTAACTTTAACTGTTACCTGCTCTCCTTAAATTATGGATTTGCCGGCTTTGAATATGGAAGAGTGCACTCAAAGTCTAGTTAAAGAGATTTAAATTTCAAAATACAAAGATTGATCTATTAATAGAATAGAAACTAGTTTCCCGGCTCCTTTGCGGGGTTTAAAAAGGGGTAAATTTCATATGGTTTTCCGGTTAAGGCCAAATTTTGTTGGCCCAAAATTTATTGGTATATTAATATAAATTGAAAAATAAAAGATTTTTTGTTTAAAAAAATGTTTTTTGAAGATTTGATTTATGTTAATTATCATAATTTAAAAAGTAAAATTTTTAGTTTAAAATAGTTGTACTTTTTAAAAACTGAGATCTAAAGATTAATGAAAAAATATCAGAATTACTGCAGATTATTTTAAATTTTGAAAAATATTAAAACTGTTTATGATTCCTTTCTTTTCTTGTTTAAACCCGATTCTGGCCATAATTGGGGATAGCCCTTCCCTGAACAGAGACGTGCAATCACTGATGGAAACACAGAATTTGATTTCCTGTCAAAAGCTAAAAAAGGTATAATGTTCATTGTTTATTTTATGTGTTGTGAAACAGGTTTTTCTAGCACCTGTGTAAACAATAGATATGCAAGAAACTTTGGGGCTTATGTTGTGCAAGACAGGTTTCCTAGCACCTGTGTAAACAAAAGATATGAAAGAAACTTGGGGGCATAAGCTTGTCTTTATTACAGCCATCAGTCAAAAGTTTAATGAAATTGGTATAGATATGTTTAATTTATGCCTATTTCAGATGGCAAATGTATACAGACACTATTAGAAAGTATTGTGAATAGTCATAACTTCACACATGACAGCATTAGAGATTTAGTCACCTGGACATTAAAGGTATGTTTATCATGTTTTTCAAAGCCTAACAAAGGCACATTGTTCATATTGACTGATATTTGAGATTTTTAAAATTCAAGGATTGAAATGTTTTGATAGATTGTATCAAATAATACTGAACCTGATTATTGAAAAAGTCATTGAAAATTACGAGCTGGTCCTAGTGGTCAAGGTGTCAAACTCAGTTTAACTTGATCCAGTCAGAACTAGCATTCCTTGGGTCATGATCCGGTATCAGCATATGCCATGAATTTGTGTGTGCATGCAAGAAGCACTAAAGATATGGTCCTAAAATTTTATTTTTATTTTGTTTCCATGAGAATTGTGCTGAAATGGTTTTGAAAATTTGATTATAATTATTCAAATTGCATTTATTTGATTATTGAAGTTATAAATGACTTGCAACAATGTATAACAATGCAGTACAAACATTTCAGACATTATCAGAGGTCAGACAGATGAAGAATGAACCTGTTTCCATGGATACCGTAGAGAAAGTGTCGTCACCCAGGGACGAGAAAGCAAAGGCAGCGAGAGAAAAGAAGAGAATAGCTGCGGAGAAAAGACGTCAGAAAATTATGGCTCAGATGTCTCAAATGCAAAAAAACTTTATAAAAGATAATTCTGAACTGTTTGAGAACACCAGTACTGAGCTATTTCCAAGAATTGACTCGGATATGGATCTTAGGCTAGTTTGAATGTTTTTCTTTGGTCAATCATCACTGTCTTCTTAAATGTGTTGATTTAAAGATGGAAAGTCATTTCTCTTGAGTGCAAGTTTAGTATCCTTAAGTAATTTTATCAAGGAATACACTGATATTGTATATAAGGTTGAATAGTGTATATAAGATTAAAAAGACTCTGAAATTGGAAGTTTACTTAAAACATTGTTGTAACTTTTTCTAGGATGTGTTGTATTCAGCTTATCATCAATGGATTACTTTAATATGTTACATTACCAAATGTGAACCAAACCCACAGCCAAATAGCAATTCAAAGAGATTATTGGGATTAAAGTCTTAATAAATTGACCATTTGTGTGCAAAACTCAAATACATTTGTATATACACGTTAATGAAGGATTAGTTAATGTTATGCTATTAATATCTGTCATAGTTTTCAGGCAATACATTATCATGTATGCACATGGGAGATATTTTATTCAGGAGATTCATAGGTATATAATTCATACTTTTACAGTGAGACAGATACTAGTTCATTACCTATAGCTGTAGGTCCTCATAGAACTTTACCTGGACAATCATCACCTATGTGTGGCATGTGTATACTGTGTCAGGAAGAACAAGAAATTACACTCTCTAACAAAGCTATGGTCCTCACTGCTTTCATTCAAAAGTAAGATTTTTTCTATACTTTATTCAATTGAAGTGATCAATCTTCTTTATTATACATTAGTATAGACGTTGGAACTAGTGTTCCTCCACCAGTAAAGCTGGAAAGTCGCAATATGACATACACTGTGTTGGTGTGATGTAAAACCTCACCCTCCAAACATAGAAGTTACCATATGACTTTATAGTGTTTTGGAAACATGAATACCAACCAAAAAAAACAGAATGATAATAATCATTATTTTTTAAATGATTGACTTCATGAAATACATATTATTATTTACAGGTCAACTGTACTTGCATTAACTCGTGGCAATGCATTGTCACATGGTGATGAATATGACCCACTTTTAATGAGGTCAGATTTGAGCACAGGGTCACATACTAGTTCATGTGGTCACATGATGCACGCAGACTGTTGGCAAAGGTAAGTCATAATGAACATTGTGTCAGTGTAATAAAAATTTAAATTTGAAAATTAAAAGTAGGAGTAATTCAGATTTTGCCAATACCATAGTATTTATGATCATGCCTTAGAATTACTTGTATATTCTTGTAGAACATGTTAAGTTTTAGAAAGGAGTTTAAGTATAAAACCATAAAAACATAAAATTTGAAAATGTTACATAGATCAACTTAGACACTTTAAATCGAAATATACATGTACAATGTATGTACATGACAAGGATAGTATAGAAATACACTTGAAATTAGACGAAAATGGATATTAAGTGCAATTCTTAGCCCAATTTGGATTAAAGGCACTTAAATGTTTTTTATTAGCTCACTTTTTTGACTCACCTGTCATGAAACTTGGACAGAATGCTTGTCTAGGTAATTTTTCGGATGAGTTCGATGGGTCAGGTGAGATAGAGGGCCATCATGGCCCTCTTGTTTATAAATATTTTTACACAATAACTGATTATTGTTGAAAAACAGAGTGACCAAATAATCTGAAATTTTGCATACAAGTATTGGTATAGGCCTACATTAAATGGTAATGAAATCTGTATTTTACAAGTCTAAATAATTTGTAAATGGTTCATAAATGAATATGTTTATTTCAGATTTTTTGATGGCATATTAGAAAGAGAAAGGAGACGTCCATTGAGATTTCGGCATAATTTTAGTTACGATATAGAGAAGATGGAGTTTCTATGTCCGCTATGTGAATGTATAAGCAATTCTGTGATACCAGTTCTTCCTGCAATATTCCCGACAACTCAAGCAAGGTAACTATTTAGCCCGGGGTTCTATGATATCACGGTACTTAACGTTTATCAGAAAATGTTTAAATATAAATATCATAAATTAATGAGACTTTTCTTCCATCTTATAATTGAACCTTTTTCTGAACTGTTTGTCAAAAAAAATTTTCAGAAGAACCAATAAAAATGACATTTTTTAGAATATTTTCAATGTCTGCCATTTTGAGTAATTTCAGAGGAGGTTACTACGGTATCAAGGCAATCCCCAAAAATGGGTCAAAACTTTCAAGTTAAGTTGAGAAAAACTTCCAACACTTAACTTGCTATAAAATTAAAACTATATGAACAGACTATATGTCAGTATATGTGTTTATAACATATTTTAATTGACTGTGTAAAAAACATCAAGGAAAATGGTAGTCAAATATGAAGGTTTTATAAAATAGTTTTCTTGCCACAAATACATTCATTATTCACCAAATTAAACTTATTGGCAGATGAAAATGAATCTAGTGTGCAAGTTTTACAAATATTAGCATCATCATGTGTTGCTTTTACTAGCAGTCACAGAAAATTTAAATACCTTGATATCATAGAACCCTTGATATCATAGGAACCGATTATGTATCATGAACAGTGTGTGTCATTTCTGTGAATTTTTGTTTTCACTTGAATAATTGATTCCTGTTGTAAAGTTGAACTGATATACTCATTATTATTTCATATATATAAAAAATAACTAATGACTGATCACATATCGTAATGCAATATGCAGATTGTGAAATTCTTGTGTGTTTATTTATAGTAACTTGTGATTATTAATAGTAACTTGTGTTTATTTATAGTCACTTGTGTTTATTTATAGTAACTTGTGTTTAATTATAGTAACTTGTGTTTATTAATAATAACCTGTGTTTATTTATAGTAACTTGTGTTTATTTATAGTAACTCAGACAGCTGTACTCATCTACATTTCCATGACTGGTTAGATGGCATACATAAAACAGTTCTCAACAGCGTCAAGGAATCTGAAGACTTTGATGATGCAGGTATGCTTGATTGTAACACAATATAATCTCTAAACCTTTTATATTTAAAAGTTTATTATGTCACATAATGTGTCCACATAGGCAAAATCAAGATCAGTATTCATATGCTACAGAGTTTGTTTTTGTTATATATGCAATTTATATTAATGGAGGCAAACTGAAATTCTCAGCGATATGTATATTTTATATTAAAACAAAAAGTTTTTTTCACATGAAAATGAGTTTAGTTATGGAATATATGAAAGAAATGGCATATGATTGATAAAAACTATTCAATAATAATAAAAAAATAAGGGAAGTGAAACACACGAAACAAAGTGGGTCAGGTTTCTATAATTTTAGACCTACGTTTCGGCTATTCAAGGAATAATCGTTGTCAAGGTGAGGCAAAAAGTGAATTTATAATGTTAAATGATATTCCTATTTTAAACAAAAACCAAAAAATTGTTTTCAGTTTCTTCTTTGATACCTTTCAGATTGTGTATAATTTACATATTTCACACCCAGTTAATTTTACTAAGAATAGTTTGTTAATGAAGATGTATACTATTGAACAGAGTATCAGACCTGTCCATTGACAACTGTAACTAAACAGATGGCAGAAAATGTAGCTCAGAAATTCCATTCACTGTGGTCTTGTATACAAGACCCTATGGCAAGTGCAGGGCTTTCATTGGAACATAGAGAAATGCTGAGAAAATATTCAAGGGATGCATACTCGGTAAGTTTATTTTATTTCTTTTCCCTTGCATATTAACTAAATAAGTATTGTACAGATATTAAGATGTATACAGTCTAACCTGTCTAGTGGAATGACCCTTAAATGGCTGTTATAGGCAGGTGACAACTATATCCAGGGTACCTTGGATATCATAAACATTGATAAAACATGACCAAGCTATGCTTTTTTGTGTCATTTATTTTAGCACTTAATTTTACTGAACATGTTGTCATAAATATCTTGACTTCATAGATAAATGTTTAGGTGTTTTATGTTTATTTTACAAATATTTTTTGTTGACAAATGACATGAGCTTATCAACTAAATGTTGTTTTTTTTAGGACTATTTAACCTGTTGGGTACCAGCTGCTGATTTTGTTGACATAACCCACATTTTGAATTTTAATTTGTCTTGGTACAGGATCCAAGATTCCTAATTATGTAAATGGTTACATATTTTTGGGACTGAAACTGATACTTATGGACACTTTATATTGACTCTTAGCCTGCTGGCAGCTACTGATTCTTTTAACGCAACCAGTAAAGACCAAGATCAGCAGGTACATTCTATACCAGGCTGATTGGTTGTGGTCTGCACTGTTTGCTATTCAGTCAGTACTTGTTTGAACTTTTCCTAATTTTTAAAGACGGACAAGTCAATTTAAGATAATGTTGTAAGGATTAAGCTATTAGATTGGCAAATGATGTGTTAATGTTATATTATTTACAGTTTGGTCTAGGTGTAGATCCTGATGATGATAACGCTCGTGTTCCTATCATGGTATGGAATACCTGTGCCTTTTCTATACAGAGCATTGGTAATGTATAATATTATCATTTTCTGTTATTCTTCATTAATAGTTTACGGATGGTCGATAATGGACCTTTCCAGTGTTTACAGTTTAATGTAAATTGGCTAACTTGTTATCCAATCGCTACACTGAGATAATACATAGTCACTGGTTGATCTGGTTTGCACAAAAGAACACGTGCTTATGTTTGTGATACTGTTTGTGAGCAGTTGACCTAGCAATGAATGGAAAAGGTGTGGCTAAATGTTCCGCTATGAAAAACCGGAACGGTCCATTCTTCTCAGGTGCCTGTTTGTGCCTGAAATAATGCATTTAGGGTCACCTGAGGTCATCCACCACCAATACAGCTGGAAAGTTGCAATATGACCTTTACTAATAAGCCCAACCAAGTTACTTACCATTTAAATAGTAAAAAGTGGGTCTTTGTGTAAGAGTGGTTCAAGTTACAGACCATAAATAAATTCAACATACTTTTCATGGAACAATTTATTTATTCTTTTTATGATTTTGTACCTTTCATATATAGAAACACATGCTTACAACTTTTGTCTTATTTCAACATTTGTATTCACAACAACAAAAATTCTGTTTCCTATGTATTCAAATTGCTTACGATAGTTCAGATGTCAAATATTAAGAGTTGATCAGAAACCTAGAGAACTGTACAATTTATTTACAGCTTTTTGTAGCTAGGTTGTGGGTACAGTATTTGTCTTCTTTTATGGTTTTCACAGTTTTGCATATCATTTTGATAAATTAAATCCTAATACCATAATATGTTGTAAAGTTATATGTTACTTTAACAACATTTTTTTTTGTACTGTAGAACAAATTCTGCGAGATGAGGGTAAACCATTATTTGGTCAAATGTCCAGTAGACAGAGTGATTGCCTGCGGTCACTGGTCAGAGTAGCTGCTACATACAGCCCAGCCATTAATACCGACATTGTCAAACAACATTGTATAAAACTTCTTTCATGTGAGTATAATATTCAAAAGCAATTTAATTTTTAGAAAATACAATACAGTAAGACAGTAAGGGTAAGGTAAATGGGCATCAAGTTTTTATGTTTGGTTTCTTGTTTTGATGCTTTCTTCCACACTCCAGGAAAGGATAAGTTGACATAGCATCAAAATGTGAAGCCCAGGGTTTGATTACCGGTTTCTATGCATACTTCTTACTCCAGGTCAAATGATCAAAAGTCATTTTTTAAATTTCTCCACACTCTTAGTTAATAGATTAAAACATTTGATTGCTTATATAAAGGTTGGTATGAATGTTATTAGCGGCCTAGCCCAGGGTATTTTTTTTTTTTTTTGTGTTTTTTTTTTTTTTTTTTTTTTTCCATGGCAAATAGCTTGCTTACCAACAATAATAGAATATGACTGTACTTGAAAAGATTTTGTTATGTGATTACACAACAAAAAAAATCAAAAGAAAAATTTGTGATCAAGTAAATGGTGTTATGATATCACTAATATTTATGAAATTTTATATTTTGTTTCAGTCCTGTTCCCAGATGCATGTAAGAATAAGAAATTTGATCTGTGTGTCTTGGATGTTGACATGTTCCATTACCTGGTTGCCTTGGTGATGTCATTACCCAGCCTGCATCTAGATACATCAGTGGCGCCCTCAAACTATCTACAACTGCCCTCTGGTGGTGATAATGAGCTCCATGCATTACATCTTGTGTTGGCTGTACACCTTATACAGATACTGCTGCTTTATGACCAGGGAGATTGTGGTATGTCTATTTTTTTTTTTTGCCATGATTCTAATGATATTTTTTTTCGCATGACTGTCCAATAATTGTTATCTTGTAATTCAGATGACCATTTATTTTCTTCAAACTCTTAAACTTATTTTAAAACTTACTTAAGAATATAGTGAGTTAGTTACTATTCCAAACCTACCATTATAGGTCTGTGTTTTACTAATGTAATGAAAGTGCTTTTCTCATTCTAATCAGACAGGGAAGTGAACAAAAAAATATTTTGTTAAAATTGAGCTATTTTTTTCCACTAAGCAACAGGCCTGTTCATGGCTGATAAAAAATATTTTGTCTAGTATAGGGTATTGGAGATTTCTCAGTTTGTAAAGGTATGCAATGATTTGGTTATATTTCAGGTATGGAAGTGGATGGCGACTATGAGGGTGAAGCTTTACTGATCATCTATAATAAAATACATTCACTCGCAAAGTAAGACATTTCAAATTTGTATTGTTTTGAATAGTAAAATATTTCTTCAGTGATATTTTATTACTATGTGAGTGTTCTCAGTTTATATACCTGTATTAATATTTAACGGCAAGTTACTGCAATCTTGATCATAATTGAAGTAAATAATTAATGAAGGAGGTGTGGTGCGAATGAAGTTTAAAAGAATATTGTGTTCTATTCCAAACTGAAACTTACATTTGTCATTTCTTGACAGTCAATGAATTTAAGATTTTGAATTTACTAGCCCGAATTCAAGTTTTGAATTTATTCTACTATATATTTAACTAAATTTTCTTAAAATTTTCACTGGCCCGAACTAATTTCCACTGGTCATGGGCCACCGAGCCAGTTCTAAACTCGATGACTGCTTGATCTTACCTGCTTTATACTGAGATTAAAGGATGTCATTAGCATATTGTCTGGAGATGAGAAAAGGTCATTCTTTTTGTCTAGAGATGAGAAAAGTTAGTAATTAAAGGTTTTGCAATTTTTATACCCCCGCACAACAAAGTTATAAGGGGGGTATACTGGAATCAGCTTGTCCGTCCGGCCGTCGGGCATCTGTCGGTTTTTTCTTGTCTGCCCAATAACTTAAGATTCCTTTGACCCACAGTCTTCATATTTGGCATGGAGGTTAGTCATGACGAGTAGATGACCCCTATTGATTTTGAGGTCACCAGGTCAAAGGTCACAGGGTCCTTGACTTCAAAAAGCTTATCCGCCCAATAACTTAAGATTCCTTTGACCCACAGTCTTCATATTTAGCATTGAGGTTAGTCATGACGAGTAGATGACCCCTATAGATTTTGAGGTCACCAGGTCAAAGGTCACAGGGTCCTTGACTTCAAAAAGCTTATCCGCCCAATAACTTAAGATTCCTTTGACCCACAGTCTTCATATTTGGCATGGAGGTTGGTCATGAGGAGTAGATGACCCCTGTTGATTTTGAGGTCACCAGGTCAAAGGTCAAGGTCACAGGGGCCTTGACTTCAAAAAACTTGTCCGCCCAATAACTTAAGATTCCTATGACCCACAGTCTTCATATTTGGCATGGAGGTTAGTCATGAAGTCTAGATGACCCCTATTGATTTGAGGTCACCAGGTCAAAGGTCAAGGTCACAGGGGCCTTGACTTCAAAAAAGCTTGTCCGCCCAATAACTTAAGATTCCTTTGACCCACAGTCTTCATATTTGGCATGGAGGTTAGTCATGACGACTAGATGACCCCTTTTGATTTTGAGGTCAAAGGTCAAGGTCACAGGGGCCTTGACTTCAAAAAGCTTGTCCGCCCAATAACTTATGATTCCTTTGACCCACAGTCTTCATATTTGGCATGGAGGTTGGTCATGACGAGTAGATGACCCCTATAGATTTTGAGGTCACTGGGTCAAAGGTCACAGCGGCCTTGACTGCAAAAAGCTTGTCCGCCCAATAACTTAAAATTCCTTGGACCCACAGTCTTCATATTTTGCATGGAGGTTAGTCATGATAAGTAGATGGCCCCTATTGATTTTGAGGTTGCCAGGTCAAAGGTCAAGGTCACAGGGACTTTGACTTTAAAAAGTTTGTCCACCCAATAAATTAAGAAACCTTTGATCCACAGTCTTTATATTTGGCATTGAGGTTAGTTATGATTAGTAGATAACCCCTTTTGATTTTAAGTTGACTGGGTCAAAGGTCAAGGTCACAGGGGCCTTGACTATAGAAAGCTTGTCTGCCGAATAACTTAAAATTCTTTTGACCCACAGTCTTCATATTTCGCATGGAGGTTAGTCATGATTAGTAGATGATCCCTATATATTTTGAGGTCACTGGGTCAAGGTCACATGGACTTTAACTTCAAAAAGATTGTCCACCCATTATCTTAATATTCCTTTGACCCACAGTCTTCATATTTGGCATGGAGGTTGATTATGACTATAAGGTGACCCCTATTGATTTTGAGGGTCACTGGGTCAAAGGTCAACTAAAAAAAGCTTTTCCCCTCAGTTGCTTAAGAATGCCTGTCCGCAGTTTATTGATTTTGACATTTTCACATTTGAAGCATGTAGAATACATAGCACTGGCTTAGTAACCTCAGATTTGGCAGGGACGTTGTCCTTGAGCTCTAAATGGCCACTGTTGATTCTGACAAAGTGCTATGGGGGGGTATTCACGCCATGACAGTGGCAGTTCTAGTTTTTCTTACTTTATGCATATTATTTAATGTACTTTTCTCTGTTTTTGAAGCATTCAAAAGGAAAATCCACCATTACCATGGCAACTGTCAGTACATGTGAGGAAAACTATGCTGCCATTTTTGCGTTGTACTGCCATATTGTTCCATTATCTCACAGGAGTTACTGCCCCTGCTGAATTATCTGGTATGCGGTTTTGTTATGAGTTTACTGTGTATGTTGGAATGACATTTTGAACTACACAAATACTGAGAAGGAACTATTGATATTCATTGCAAATTTTAATAAAACTAAGAGTTTGATAATCGCTTGTTGAGGTTTTCATATATTTCTAAGATGAGAATGATATCTAACAAAATTTTCTACATTATAACATAGTGCAGTTGATACATGGCTCCTATTGTTCTCTTGTTTCATGCATTCTTTTGCAGGATTTAAGTAAACTTTTTTTATTTTATGTTTTGCAGTTCTTCTCTTCTCTGGTATGAATTGACATTTGATGTTATACAATTTGCTTTATTTGTTTTGCCGACTTTTATACTGATTTTAATGCATGTTTATGGTCAGCAGTCTAGCCACATAACCGCTTTCCTTGATGACTAATTAGTAATTACCACCAATTTGTGGCGGTGTGATCGAGTGGTTAACACATCAAACTAGTTATCTAAGAATAGCAAGCAATGTGGGTTTAAACCCTGTCAGGGGCAAGCCCTTGTTTACACTCATTGCTCAATACTGGTTGGTTCCAGGAAGGGATTTAAGAGTCTTATAAGCTTATATAATAGCTTCCAAAACTATCAGACTAAAATTAATCAGTAAAAGCTAACCTTATTACCAATTTCTCCTCATTGACATACTATTAATCCAACATGATTTCTAAATCATCTGTATCATGTGAGAGAGACAAATGACCATTAAACTCACGGAAATTATGCCTTATCCAAGAATAAAACTAGCATCTGTGCTCTCCCTTTTGAGCTTAGCAGGTGGACTGATCTTGGTATCTAGCTAGCTTACGGAACGTCGGTGGTTCTACTCAGGTGCCTTTGTGCCTGAAATAATGCACAGAATGGCACCTGAGGTCTTCCTCCACCAGTTAAGCTGGAACATGCTCATATGACCTATATTGTGTCAGTGTCATGTAAATCCCAATCAAACAAACATACAAAAGGAGTATAAGAATTTGCTGGGGAATTCGTCTTCAGTTATAATTATGCCCCCACAAAATGGGTAGCGTTGCACTTGTCCGTCTGTCCGTCCGTCCCGAAATCTTGTAAACGCATCTCCTCTTAAACCGGATGGCAGACTTTGCTTAAACTTACAGGGATGAACAACCTTAATGTGTAGATGGTAGTAAAGGAAGGAATTTTCGCTGCGACCAAATCTAACAGAATTATGGCCCTTTGATGATTTTTTCACTATATACCATATAGAAATTTTGTGAACGCAACTCCTCCTAAACTGGATGGCAGATTTTGCTTAAACTTCCAGGGATGAAAAACCTTAATGTGTAGATGGTAGTTAAGGAAGGAATTTTCGCTGCGACCAAATTTAACAGAATTATGGCCCTTTGTTGATTTTTTCACTATATACTATGTAGAAATTTTATGAACGCAACTCCTCTTAAACCGGATGGCAGATTTTGCTTAAGCTTCCAGGGATGAACAACCTTAATGTGTAGATGGTAGTAAAGGAAAGAATTTTGGCTGCCACCAAATTTAACAGAATTATGGCCCTTTGTTGATTTTTTCACTATATACTATGTAGAAATTTTGTGAACGCAACTCCTCTCAAACCGGATGGCAGATTTTGCTTAAACTTGCAGGGATTAACAATCTTAATGTGTAGATGGCAGTAAAGGAAGGAATTTTTTCTGCGACCAAATTTAACAGAATTATGGCCCTTTGTTGATTTTTAGTTTTCAACTTGTGGCACATGACGTAGTCCAAAAAATATTTGATCTAGAGTCATAAGATTGACAGAACAGTGGCGTGTGGGGGCATCTGTGTCCTATGGACACATTTCCAGTTTTTGTAATACTTTGGATATGTAAGATATGAAATGTAAGGTCCAGAACCAATTTATTGGATTGATTATTTGATTTTAATATTGTTTATTTTAAATAAAAGTTATTTAATGTAATATTATAATGGGACATATTATAAAAATGTTTTGTACTATTGCAGAATCAAGTGAAGAAAGTTCAAAACAGGAGTTTGACAGTCTATGTAGATATCTAGGTATTAATTTACACATGTCAAGATTAGTAGATAACCATGGGGAGCTCATGGATACCCTTGTTACAAGGTATGTTAGAGTTTATCTCTTACATGTTACAAGTTATTTGTATTCTAATTGAATTTTTTTATGAAGCATATTCTTTTGATATCACTCTTATTAGTTTTCTACCAGTTTTCCTGAAGGAAATTACATGTTTATTCTATTCCTTTCTTCTGTCCGTGCAAAGAAATCTGGATCCTGCCATTATTCAAAAAGTAAAAATGCTCAATTAATGTTACTTGGTAGTGGATCGTGATCATTCACATTGTTTTAATATTTAATGTGTTCTTCATAACATTCCTCTGAAGAAATCTTGATCCTACAAAGCTTGGTTGATGGTACATGGTATGTAAATAAAGGACCATACTGAGATTATCAGGGACTTTGTGTGACATGGCTGTAACTCGTATGACAAAAAGAACCTTTCTGCTATCTGTCTGTCATAATGTCCTTAAATCTTTTCGTCCTTCGTTTGAGTTTAAAGGACGGGAGGGGGCGTCCGTGGCCGAGTGGTTAAGGTCGTTGACTTCAAACCACTTGCCCCTCACCGCTGTGGGTTCTAATCCCGACAGGGACTTTGGATTCTTTCATGTGAGGAAGCTATCCAGCTAGCTTACGGAACATCGGTGGTTCTACTCAGGTGCCCGTTCGTGCCTGAAATAATGCACGGAAGGGCACCTGAGGTCTTCCTCCACCAGTAAAGCTGGAACGTCGCCAAATGACCTATACTGTGTCGGTGTGACGTAAAACCCAAAACAAACAAACAAAGGACGGGAGCCATTTTGTATATCAGAGTTTCAGAATAAGCATTTAGAATAGCCCTCATTTTTGTGTATTCCCCTCAATTAAATTTTCTCTGTTTCAGGTGGTGTAAGAATTCTGTTTTGAAGGAAACATTATCTGCGTCCAGTCAGCCTTTAGTTCAATACCCGTTGAAGATCAACAAGTTAATATCTCTACCAGATGACTACAGTGAACTTATCAACAAAGTGTCTGCTTTTACGTAAGTAGTGAATCTCCTCATATCCTGATTTGTTTAATTTATATTCCTCCTTGTGGCTGAGAGGTTGTTTTTATAAGGTTGAGGCATCAGAATTGCAGCCACTGTTTATCCCTGCATGATCAAGGCTGCAAGGATTTATTTCACCTTTATTAAGTACAGTTTATTGCAGGTTATTCCTGTATAATAGCTTAGATAACTTTTTTATTGTCTATTTGAGTTCTGCATAGTTTCAGGTGATTTCTATATATAGCAAATGATTTCAAGTTACTTTTAATATACCACAGACAATTTTCGTATATTTTCAGATGCCCCAAATCAGTTGGTGATGACAGTCGTGCACCAACCATGTGTCTGGTATGTGGAAAGATGTTGTGCTCACAGAGTTACTGCTGTCAAACAGAGTTTGAGGGGGTCACTGTAGGGGCTGCTACAGAACATGCATATAGATGTGGTGCAGGTGCTGGGATTTTCCTCAGGTATGTTCTTTGTAACATTATTACCTAAAGTGACATGATGCTAAAAAAAACTCATTGTCAAGTTGAGCTGAATTAAACATATATTTTAAAATATTGGTTTTGATAAAGATGATTGTTCAACAGTTTATATTGAAAAAATGTTTAGGATAAGATATAAATCTGACTCTTTTTTAAATTAAATGCTGCAGGTAAGTTCCAGTGGATATTTATTAAAATTTTCTTGGACTAGTGAGTAAAATATTTATCCTTCAGTTCATTGAAATTAAATTATAAAATTGAAAGGAATTATGGCGTAATGTAAACTTATTTTGACTTGCACTTCTTCAATGGCTATATACCCTTGAATGCATATAATGCCATTTCAACTATAGGCTTTCATTATTACAAACAAAACTAATGTCACTGATAAAGAACTCGCTCATCAGCAATATATGTTAAGGATGTTTCGAGAGTTTTCAAATAGACATATAGGCAAAACTAAAACTGTTCAATAGAATTTCTTCAATTTTAATTTCAATATTAATTTTGCCTGTATGTCTATATGAAAACTCCTGAAGACATCCTTAAAATCAATCAGGCTTGATCACTTGGGTTTAATTTATTTATAAATTTTATGTTGACAGGGTACGTGAATGTCAGATATTGTTGTTAGCAGGAAGAACAAAGGGCTGTTTTGTACCTCCACCTTATATAGATGCTTACGGTGAAACAGATCAGGGTCTCAGGTATGATAAACTTACAATACATATAAACTTTCACCTGTAGTAAAATAAGTATACATCACTTGATTAATGCAGATAACAGAAATTATGACAGCCAAATTATCATTATAGCTAGGGCATCTGTGGCTGAGTGGTTATGGTTGTTAAATTCAAACCACTTGCCCTTCACTGCTGGGTTTGGATCTGGACAGGAACTTTGGATTCTTTCATATGAGGAAGCTATCCATCTAGCTTATAAAACATCATCAGTTCTACTTTGGTTTCTATTTTTGCTAAAAATGATGCACAGAAGAGCACCTTGGTATTCCTCCACTAGTGCACCTAGTGAAAGTGGCCATATGACCTATACTGTGTTGGTTCGATGTAACACCCATCCAAGAAAAGAAAAATCATTACAGCTTCATAGTAACAGATGGAATTGTTAAGCTCATTCTGTAATACCTTGAATACAAACACCATACATGAATTTATGTACTGTTAAAGTATATATGCGTTTATCTATAATTGATATTTTTTCTTCTTACTTTAAATTACTTAACATTAAATTTCTGCAATAGATCTAATATCAATGTACACACAATAAATTCTACACACAAATCTCTTGTTATCATGGCATGTTTAACATATTACATGTATATATATTTTATCATCTGACAGGTATATGTTATATATATTTCCAGACGTGGTAATCCACTACATTTGTGTAGAGAGAGTTACGACCATCTACAGAAGTTATGGATGTCACACGCTATACCAGAGACTATTGCTCATAATCTAGAATCTAATGCAACCCTTCTCACCATTGACTGGCAACACCTTTAATTGATGCATTATTTTACATCGGCCAATTGGTCTAGAGCACTGTTTCCAGGCTAATTAATGAAGAACACTGTCCATAGACTACATGTACTTTATCCAGAACACTGTCCTTGACTTATTTAGAACACTGTGCTTCAGCCGAGTTGCTTAGACCACTGTCCATTGAGTAACTTATCTAGAAAGAACACTGTCCATTGATTTACCTACTTAGACCACTGTTTTGATTTATTTAAAGCACTTTGCTTTGGTTGAGTTGCCTAGAACAATGTCTATTGAGAAACTTTTATAGAAAGAACATTTCCCATTGATTTGATATCTAGAATACTGTCCTTGACTTATTTAGAACACTATACATAGGCTGAGTTGCCTAGTACACTGACCGTATCTTATCTAGCAGAACACTATCCATTGTTTAAATTTTCTAGAACACTGTCCAATTTTTATCTTATCTAGAACACTATTTATCTAACTTACTAAGAACACTGTCCATTTATCTTACTTACTTGGAACACTGTTGATTAACTTATCTATAAGAATGTCTACTGATTAATAGATATATATAGAACACTGGTCTGTATTTTATTTATGACACTTTTTGGAATATTTAGAACTTTGTCTGTTGAGTCAGTAAGTTAACTTACTAAATTCAAAGTAGACTGCCATGGTTTTTATTTGCATAATATTTTGATATCTTTATAAATATTTATTAAAATTCTGTGAAAATTTCTTCTAATGACATTATTTTGCATGTAGGACATTCTTCACAGTGAGTTAGAATAAATTAGATATTAGTCTTGTAAATTACCTAACAGCCTCAAACAAAACAAAAGAACATGATGTTTGGGAGAAATAATTTGTAGCAAATAAGATACAGTTTTGAAGTTAAACAAATCTTTAAGTCCCCTAGCAAAGATAAACAAATCTTTAAGTCCGCTAGCAGCATTGATATTAACTTTTCTTGAAACTCATTAAGCAATAATAGAATGATGTAGAAAATTGAACTTTATATTTTTTTGTTTTCCAATCCTATTTTTTGCGCCTATCAGTTTCCACTGGGGTCAATAGATATAAGCCAAGTATACAAGAAAGGCAGTGGTTTAAAAACTTAGAATCAATAGTAATTTATCTTTTGAAAAAAACAAACATACACAAAATACTAGTGCTTTTGTTATGTATGAAAATAATGAAATCCTAGCGTTGACAAGGAATTAGATTGATATTTACTACATGTACTACCAGATATATTTTATACTGCCAGATATTTTAAGACAGGTACCCATGATTTAGCTTCAAAGTTATCACATTTTTGTTCTGGAGAAAACTATTATACATGTTATGTTGTACAAGAAATCTGTACCTATGTGAGTAAATACTGATTCATGAAAACATTGAGTGCTAGTTGAGTACTTTTACTGTGTACTCAATCCAACCTTGGTTATATGTTAGGAAACAAAAGGAATTTAATGTTGTAGTATGTGTTTCTATAACGTTGTTTAAATAATTTATTACTTATCACAATAAAATGTATGCCAAGTGACCTAAAATATTGTTTGATGTTAGAAATGAAGGCAAAGGAGTTGGAAATACATATTTTCTTAAAATGTGCATAGTATATTATATAACAATACTATGATGCAGGGTCTTTTCAGATGTTGTGCCTAATAAACTATTAATAATAGTATTTGTAATTGAGGTAAATGGTGGATTGTCTTGAATAATTTTAACCTGTTGGACACTTGAGGCAGTGAAAGGCAGACCTATATAGACTATACTGAAACCCCTTACAGTAGCAATGGACTGTACCAAATTCAACATAATACCAGTGCATAACATAAATTCATTGGGTAAAATGTTATTTTTTCATGTGTTTTTTTTTTACCCTGAATTTGCATTGACTTACCTTACTGGATTGTTTTTCAAACATTTAGAATGTATATTCTCTGTGCATATACTACAGTGTAATAATTCACTCAATTTACCATGTTCCATATGAGTATAGGATTGTTAATGTATTTATCTTTGTGCTATTTTTCTCATTGTAATACTCATTGTGGTTGACACACATAGAAATGTTTATGTTAAATATGAATTAATAATGTAAAGAAATGTTTCTGTTTCAAGTTGTAACATCTAAAATCATTACTTTTGCCATCAGTGTTTCCTTGCTTATATATATTATATACATATATAAGAAAGCATGTCACAGGGCATCCATGACCAAGTGGTTAAGGTTATTATGGGTTGGAATCCTGATGACCTCACAGGGACTTGGATTCATTCATGTTAGGAAACTATTCGGGAAAGTTCGCTCACCTGTGCCATCTGATCATGATATGCACTGTTGGTAATTCACTCAGTACTTATTTAGAAATTTTCCTTATAAAAAGATGAATGATTTTTGTCAATATTGAAAGACGGGCATGCCAGTTTAAGATATTTAGGATGGTAAGGATAAACAGAAATAATAGATTAGTGAAAAGTTAGTTGTCTGACTATGAAAATTTATATTTTATAGAGGCAAGCAGTAAAAGATTTATTTTTTGGGCCTAAATATATTGTTCTAAAGGTATTCTTTGATATAAGACTTTCATCATTTTGTAATAGCATTATTGCTTGTATTGAATTCAGTTTAATGAAATTCAGTGATTTTATTCACCCTGTAAGGATAATCTTGTGAACAATATAGGCATTGAAGTTGATTACTTTTTATGGCATGAAATTTCAAGGCATTCAGTTATTATAGTGAAATATTTTCTGTGAAAATTTAATCAAAGTTCTCTGTTAACAGTAATATTTATATCAATTACTGAAAATAACAGAGAGTCTTATGTGCTAGTTTTTTCAATATGTACCTGTGAATTTATATAATTTTTAAGTGCTATATTTATGATATAAGTGTCAGATTTTATGCATGTATTTTAGAGACACATTTTGCTGTATAGACCATTTTGATTTATAAACAACTGTTACTAAGTAACTTGAAACTGGTCAATGTTATAGAAACAGAATCAGTCTTATATCATTGGGATTGTCTGTAATGAATATAATGATAATGAAGCTGATAATGATGACGATAATGAGCTTAAGGCATAGTTTGTTGATATGGAAATACATGTTTATTTAGACACTTGTCAAAGGATTTTTTCTGCAGATAATAAATGTATACTAGTAATATTATAATGATAAGATATAGTGGCATTTGTTGTACAAGAGTTGTTACTTACTACATGTGCTCAAACTTAATAATGGCATTGATATTAAAAAGGTTCATGATATTAAATGAGAAAGGGTAGCAATGATTAAATCTCAGGAATCTGATTGGTCAGAAACCATCACAGAATGTACAAACTGACCAATGAAAATTCTTAGATTTGAGAATAGCTCAGTAACATAGTTTATCATTTCAAGGCAAGGAATGGATAAATAATCTAAACTCAAAAACTGATTTTTCATATCCTAAATGGAGGTAAAGTCTTAAGTATAATACAATACATATTCTGTAAGCTGCATAAGATGAAACTTGGAATGGGAATAAAACAATGTATAAAGTCTATAGATTCACTTAGAAAAAGACGTTAATACTCTTTCAGTAAATTATCTTATTGTTCCATATTTACTAAAATTTAAGTTACAGAATGTATATGTACAAAATTAACAATATTTTTCATTTTGTACTTGGGCAATAAGTATATTATTTTCACTTTTACTTTTAATATATCTGCCTGTGCTGAACTTTATTCTTATCACTACATCTTCAAGTACAGTATAGTCCAAAAAACCTTTCATACTTTGACAATTTACATATAATTGAAAACATAATTACATTTCTTGTTGTTTTAATTCTCTATATATGTTGTTTTTAATGAAAATGATGAATTTAATTCAAGTTTAGCATTTTGATGTTACTTTTCGAAATGGAAATATAGCAAAAATATGGAAATTATAATGCAGTGAAATTAACCCAATAACTTATGTTGCCATTTTAGAGCCAGGCCAGTCTACTAGGGATGATCCATGTCTGTATTCTAGGCTTAATGAGGGTCCATCTGCCCTCTCAGGCACTGGGAGTACGGACCTCTGGCATGTCACCATTCATGTCTTTAAAAGTTTATTATATACCAAAAAGGTCATCTATAAATTTTAAATTCAGTAATTTTGCTGAATGTTACTAAATATGTATGCAAGTCGGTTTTAGGGATGATCAATGCACTCTGACTAGACTGTATTCTGTGAACTTCTTATCTTTTTAATTTGAAAATTACCGGAACACACAATAGACAGAAGGAACAGTTCATTGAGCAGGGTACATTGTAATAATTAACGAGAGTTATGAAAAAGATTTTGTTTTGTTTGAAATGAATTGTGTGCTGATATTACGGAATTGAACAATTCTATATTATTATATAGTAGGAGTCTTGGTTTTGTTTAAGGTGTGAAAACAGCTGTTGTTTTTATGTTATATTTATATTCATATTCACTTAAAAATTATTGATTTTTCTTTTAGGAAAAATGGAAATACATTTACGATCACCAGACATTTTTTTTAATTACTGAATTTTTCATTTAGGAAAAAATGGACATTTTGTTTACAGCCACTATTCTTTTTATTGAGTAACGCATTTTCCGTTACAAAAGAATTTTAGAAGGCATGATTTTTGTGTAGGAAAAAATGGAAATATTTCTATAGTGACCATACTCTGAACACAGATAGGATTGAATTTTCATTAAGGAAAAATGGAAAATTTGTATCTATCACATCACTTTTGACGAGATCAAGTTGCTTTGATTTTAAATTCCACTTTGTTTTTCATCTGATGCCGCACGTTTTTATATAACACATAACCACAATATCAGTGAATGAATTGGTTCAGTTCTTTTTTGTTATATTATTTAATTGTATATTTACGATGCTATGTGAATTGGTTATATTCTTGTACTGTTTTATTACCCTGACTATATTATTTGTTATATGATCTATGTATAGTCGTAATGAAATGATTGATTAAAAAAATGCTTGCAAACTTGGTCTTAGGTTTTAATAAACCCATTCTTTATACTTGGAGCGTTGACAGTGGTGAAAGTTGCCTGACCAGTTATTAACACTAGTTTAAATATATTTATTTCGTGAAAACCTGATTACCGCCTTTATTTGAAATACAAGCCACTGTCTGTGAGAAATGAATGTTACTAACGAAAGGCTAAATAAAAAAATTGCGGTCCTACATTTTGACCGACCTAGGACAGATCTCCAATTTCGTTGTCTGAGTTTCACACGAATTCATTGAGAAATTATCGTTGATGTCTAACCATATCAATTTAATCCGCGGGAATTCAAATAAAAGTGGAATTAATGAGATAAGCTTATTGAAACACTCGAATCCGTTCCTGGAACCAACCAGTACTAAGTAATAGAAAGAGCGTGGAAACAGTGGCTATCTGATTTGTACGAGGGGGCGTAGCTCCCGATTATTAATCAGATTGCCGAGTGTTTTGATGTTTTTTCTCTTTTGTATCATAGTCAAACATAAAAACATGTTCCCTGGTGTCACAATATGAAACCTCGGCAAAAAGGAACCAATGAACGAATATCTGAAAGTGATATTTCTGTCGCTGTCCCCTTCTCTACCGTCACAATATGTAAACCCGAGCAAAAATGAGCAAATCAATGGGCATGCTCCGGAGTGCGAGTAACTAATACCTGCACTCCAGTAAACACTGTGCATGTACACATTTTCAAAAGAAAGGTCCCCAAACTATGATACAAGCAATGAATGTAAAGTTTCTTGCTCGAGGAAACAACGGCTTGCCCCTGACAGGGTTTGAACCCACGCGGTCAGCAATCCATAGATTATTAGTCTGTCGCGTTAACCACTCGGCCACGCCCCACTTCATTTAAGCCCTTGTTCAAAACAACAAGCTAACAAAACTGTCTTAGTCCAAAATATTACCTATGAAACGGGAAAAAACAAGGAATCTGATTATTGTATATTTTCAAAACTGGAAATCACAAAATCAGTAAGATTGTACTCTAATATTAATTCATTTTTTTAATACTCCCTTAGCTTGTTTGAAAATAATTAAACTCATTGATTTAGGCTAGCCATGTATATTTACTTTGTGAATTTTACATCAAATCAGTTTATAAATTAATATATTACCTATTTGTGCAATTATCAAAATTGATTAAAGTAAAAATCACTTCAACGTTTTTGTCTTGCAAAGTATAATTTTTTTTATAATAGTTCATCATATTCCTTTCGAAAAGATCTACTAGTCAGTATCTTACAGAAAATGTTTTGAGTTTGAAATGTTTGGCATAATTGCTGTACAACTTTAAATACACACATTTGAGGTTTATCGCCCAACTTGTGCCTGTGGATTGAAAAAGTTGAATTGCTGGGTGTTGAACTTGTCTGGATCAAAAGCAGCTCCACCCACACTGCCACCACCATTACTGGCACCTAACTTGGAGGAGGAGGGATCGAGCATGTTGGCTTGCATCTGGTTCACACTATTTGGATCAAACTTTGGGGCACTTCCGCTGCTTCCACCACTACTTCCGCCACTTCCACCGCCACCTCCCATCTGAGCTTGCGGGTTGAAAAAGTTGAATTGCATAGTGTTGAACTTATCTGGGTCGAATGAGGCACCATTCACTGAACCGGCACCATTACTTGTACCAAGTTTCGATGATGATGGGTCAAGCATGTTGGCCTGCAGTTGGTTGACGCTGTTTGGATCGAAATTTGGAGCCTGAGCCCCACTTCCGCTGCTACTACCGCCACTGCTGCTACTCCCGCCACTGCTACTGCTTCCACTACTGCTGCTACTCCCGCCACTGCTACTGCTTCCACTACTGCTACTGCTTCCACCGCTGCTACTGCTTCCACCGCTGCTACTGCTTCCACTGCTGCTTGGACTAGCTCCTCCACTCCCTCCTGTTTGAGTTTGGCGACGTTGCCTACCATCTGTGAAATGTTACAGATATTTTTTTTAAATAATCCTAAAAGTTTAAAATTATCTGTATGATGCGTAATTAAATAAAATGATTTTTAACAGAAAAGTTGCGACCAGCTGGTTTGTTTGGTATTCCAAAGAATCTTTACGGGCACAGCTAATGATCATAGATTTCTTGTGAAAAAAAAAGATTAAATAAGTATACTCCTGAAACCCTTTATCGAATGATATGTATCAATCTAGAAATAAGCAATTAAATGATAAAAAACTGAACAAATGATACATATTCATTAAATTGATTTTACATTTGAAAAAACATCCTGTAACTCACCGATCGCAAAACTAAACGTTTGCTGGATTATTAAACAGGCACACAAAATCCGTAGCAACATTATGTAGGTTTCATATAGGTATAGATGACCCCTCAAATCGACTTATATATATATACATGATGTTCCTCAGAAGGACTTTAGGCCAAGTGGAATTATTATTACTTTTTGTGTGTCATATTCGACAGGTTCCAAAAAATGATATTGTAGTATTGCAGTGTTACTGTTAGATACTTGTTAGTTCTCATTTTATGCAAATTTTTCTCAGCTGTTGATAATTTGAACGCACAAGGAAAAACATTTTTTGACAACAATCTTTCGTTTAAAATGTGTATAAAATATCTTTGTATCAAATTTTGGACAAAAAAAAGAATAAAATAAAATTAATAACTACGCTAAAAATAATGACAAAGAAATAAATACATTCAACAGCAAGAAAATGGCCAACAGGAGCCGGACGAAAAATAAAAAAACAAAACAAAACACAAAAGACCCCAGGAATATGGCCTGATCATACATGTAAAACTGGCCTGTAACATTTGCCATATTTCACGTCTTATCTAACCTTATCTGGCATATTGACCCTTTTAGACTCAAAGGTCAACTCATTTTAGACAATAAAGTTGACCGAAAGTAAAGCCATAGTCTATGGAACGCCGAAACTGTGTTATTCTGTGAATTTAATGTTTAAACTTGTCTTTATGTTTGAACGTCTTATCTTCTTGAGACTTAAATAATCGTGCTATATTACGCAATTATGACAGCGACGCCAATTTGTCAATCATTCCATGGCAACTATGTTTTTTGGTAACACAGGCAATCAAGAATTCAATGTAGTATTTACTATACGGAATGTGTCTAAATTTTAAGTCATACACCTGAACTACTTACAGTTTCAATATATTTACCAGATTCTCTTATCGAAGCATTAATTAAATAACCGAATGAGAGAATATGTGAGATGGATATTACTGCCTGTTTTGTTTGTTTTCTTAACCAAGGATTATACTTGCTTCGGGGTTATAAATCTTTTCTTTCTTAATTAGTTCTGTCTCAAATCTCAAGATTTTCATTGGTCAGTGTACATTCTGTGGCAGTTTCTGACCAATCAAACACACGATATTTCAATGAGTTTGAGCATAGGGAATATCTTTACAACCTTGGACCCAGCTTGATTTGCTCTATGCGTCTCATATACTAGTATATGCAGAATAGAAGCTTGTAGGTCCATGTTTTTATTTGTCGTCTGTTTTGAGTACACGTACAGAAAATGAAAGCTTGTTTGAGGGAGTCTGATAAATATGCTGCAAGTACGGGCTACGGAATGCCTTTATGTTAATTATAATATATATTATACAGTACAAATGTAAATAAATATTTTCAGAGAATAGCTTATCAACGGTTATTAAGGAAATAAAAGTTAAAGGCGCATACTTGTTTAGATTTATTTGAAGTATAACCCAAGTTCCCGAAACACTGTAGGCATGTGAAAAACAGATAGTAATCAGTCTGGTCTATAAACTTAGGGGGGCTTTTGTTTGATGGACTGAGGGGGGGGGGGGGGCTTTTGTCCTACCTGTATTTTTGATAGGGGCTTTTATCCTATCGGGGGGGGGGGCTTTTTTTTAAATGGGGTGGCTTTCGTCCGCGAGGGGGGGGGGGTTGTCATACACTCATTAAATTAGCTAGCATTAGAACTCTTAAATAAGTAAATAAGTAGATCGAAATAAATGTAGTCTGAAACTTAGTGAAAAACATGAAGACACTTCCATACGTAAAATGCATCAAAAGCCACCGTTTAACATGTAGAATTCATTTTTTCCTGGGGAGGACCCCAGACCCCCCCCCCCCTTATTAAAGGGGACACATTTAACTTTCAAACATAAGCCCTTCCAGCCAAAAATTTTTAGATCCGGCCCTGAATACGCCCCTCCCCCTCCGAGAAAATTAAATTATCGAAAATACATAAAGCAACATACAATTATATTATTTTTTTTTCATTTAAGAGCATGGTTTTCAGAAGAAAATATGGTGAACTTTGAGACATAAATTTTAATACTTCACCTTCAGTCATTTTTATTTTTAAGCCACCTCTAGAAAGTCTATCAAGTAGTCTTTTATTTGATACCAAAATCATTGAAATTGATTAAGAAATAAAAATGTAAGTATGGGTAGCCGTGTTTTTCTTACCGAATATGAGTTTGTTTTCAGAAGAAAAATGATAAAACTTTGAGACTAAAAATTTACATACTTCTTCTTAAGTTATTTTTATTTATAAGGCATCCGCAGAAAGCTTATTAAGTAATATTTTACTTGATACTAAAACTATCAAAATTTATTAAGAATTTTAAAAAAGTTAAAAGGGGGCGCCGTGTTTTTCTTCCGTTTTATTGTAGTTCTGGCTAAACCGCTATATAACAATTTTGTTTTTCATCTGATGCGGCATGAAAGTTTTGTCTTCAGCGTTCACATCATATCATATATATAGTATATAAACGGGTAGGCCCCTACGCTGAAGACCTTAACCCTTTCCCCCATGAGCATATTGTGAAAAATGGCCATTTTTACTGAAAAGCCTCCTCTTACAAGTTCAAACTGCTATAAAACCATGAAAAATGCTTCAATACTAATCAAACTTGGCACAGATGTTGACTGGACCATTGCCTTTGTAACGACATGCTCAGTCTTAAATTTCCTGTTACCATGGCAACGAGGGGACATCTCAAAATTGCCAAAAATCACTATTTTGCCTCGATTTTTTCCATCAAAATTTATTTCAAAGTGCTGCAACTTCTCTAGGGATTGAGATAGAGTCAAAGGCTTTTCAGCGTTGGTTACACGTTACCTTATGATCGACCTGGGGTCATTTTAAGCCGCTCACAAGTCCAAAATTTTCTTGGCGATGAGGGGGACTCCGCCCCCCCTTCAAACCTCCAAACAGAAGGGGGGCATCCCCCTTCTGGCAACCCCCTGATGTATCTCTTGGATAGGGGGCGGCGCCAAAAAAGTGCTCAGTTTTTTTTAGCAACATTTCTCAAACAAAAACATGTGTTTCGGGCCCAAATAGGACAGATTTTTCACTATTTCAGGCCTAAAAAAGGGGGGGGGGTCGAAAGTGCGTTGTTTCGCGTATATATGAGGTAAAGGGTTAAGCTCGTTTTATTGAAAAAAATGGGAGAGACGCTGTGAAGTATCAAAAAGCGAGTTGGCAAGGGAACGAATTGTCATTCATGAATGAGTGATTGCCCTTTGAAAGTAACCCGCCATCAAAGTTGAGTGTGGTAAGGAAACTTTTTACTGATTACTTTATGTGATAATTTTAACGAATGATTAACATGCAAATGCCTCACATTGATACATATATTTGGTAAGTTTTATTTGAACTTGAATGCCATTTTTTAATAAAATTTCTTAAGTTAATTATGATTTTCAAAAATATGCTTTCAACAAATATGACCTTTTTTCGAATACCTAGCTAAACACCGTTTTCCGGTACGTTACGGATTTGGGGAATTACACCAAATGAAGTACATAACACAGTTACATGATATTTCTATTTTTCTATCATTATTTTACCTTTTAATGTGAAAAAAATGATGTATTTGAAAATTATCAATATTCCTTTAATATCTATTGCAACTTTTTAAAAAAAAAGAAATTGTTTATAATGGAAATCAGTAAAATTAAAACAGACTATAGATCTTGTGGAATCTTCCATAATAAATAAGGTTATTTTCTGCGTAAACTTGTGTATCTACATTATTGTTTGTATGGAATTATTCATACAATGATATTTAATTATTTTCTTATAAAGAAAAAACTGTTTTATTTCAATTTGATTTTAAGAAAAGGCCGAAAACATCAAGCTCGCTATATATTCGCTCCACTAGGTGAATTCCCCAGAGCTATGTACAGTAAATACTGGAAAACGGCATTTAGCTAGGTTTTCGAATTCGTGAATTCTATCAAAGTCTATCATGCAAATATGATATTGAGTTTATCTCAATTAACCCTCAATATTTTCCAATCCAGATGTAATAACTAAGGTATGTCAAACAAGTTTACTGTTTAATCCCTACAGTATAAAAATATTATCTGGGACAGAAGTGTATCTTTCGTCCCAGATACAATACAATATAAAAAAAGGGTAGCCGGAACCGCCTAGAAGGTGTAAAGAGCAAGGCTGAAATGTCCACGAGTTGTAAAGACTAAGACTCAGAAACATCCAGGAGGTGTAAAGTCCAAAAACCGTTCGAATCAGGGTCAACTGTAGTTAAAGATCTTTTGTTATCAAGACACCCATAAAAACATGAACATCAATTTTGAAAACATGTTTATTTTTCTTTAAATAATACTAAAGATTAATTTGATTAAACATACTATACAAATATAAACTAGGTTACTGGTTTGGGATCACCAAAACCGGACAACCACCAAACCCGGACGGCGCCGAAAATGCTTAATTTATTATTTTCTTTGTTCAGTGGTTGTCAGTCACTTTTTTATCAACAATAAATGCATGTTTCTTCTAGAATTAAGTAAATAAATTTATTTCAACCTCCGTAAATGGTAATATTTTAATATTTATTTCAAGAATGTTGACGTAGAAATTTGGGGGTCAAGAAAGCAATGCCTGACCTCATACACCAGCTATAGTTATTTGCAGATTAAACAATAGAAAATATCAAAAACTTCAGCATTTGTTGCTGAAATATTGTAAAGCATGTTAAAAATCAAAAATTAAAATACCCAAGCTTTTTTCTGAATTAAATCACATCATGTACATATCTGTCCGGACACATGGTACTGTAGTGTAGACAATTTAGGTAATTTTTATACCCTCCTTGTCGAGCCTCAGACATAAGTTTCAATACAATCAGAAATAAACAAACTAGTTTGTTAGTTAGGAGAAGAACCTAGCTGAACTGTGTCAAATTTTTAGGTCTCTAGGTTAAAAATTATGAAATCTGTACGGAAAAATGTTAAAAAAGTGTCTGGTTGATGGTCCTTGACCAGTAAAGGTTGAAAATGAGTCACGCCAATATAAAATTTCACCAGCAAAATTCACTTTCAATGTTTGGAAATACTTTGGTATTTCAATTGAACATGAGAAAAAAGCAGTTTGTAAAACATGCCACGGCGAAATGACTTATTCCAGTTGTACAAGAACTTATCATATGAAAAGACAAGTATTAGCTAATTTTGGATTATTAAAAATAAAATCGTCTTCGGTACATGTCACATTATTATAAATCTATACATAGTGACTAAAAATATTGATTTATTTTCATGTAAAAACATAGTGCTCAATAAAAATAAAGTGATTCCTTTTTCGAATGAATATACATGTAATTACTTCCTAGCTCAGCATCATGGTACATGTTTGTTGACTTCATGTCTTTAATTGGTGATTTGTATTTAGATAAACATCGCATAATTCATACTTAAATTGATTATTTTTTTACTTTTAAAGTGTGAGAAACAGCAAATGTATAATAAACAAAAAAGATACTTAGGTAAACAGGTTTTTTTATTAAAAATTAACTAAACAACCTATATCCTAATAGGTTTTTTAATAGAGGGCTGAGTTGACCCGTGCCGAGTTGGAATAGGGTTGACCCTTTACCAAGGCATTTGGCACATTAGCGATGCCAGTAATGGTCAAATCATCATAAAATAATCACCCCTTGATCATCAAAAACAAAATGAGTATCCAGCACCAGGGCTAGCACTGGCAAATTTTTTCTTGAGCCAATTTTTTCGCGGCGAAAATTGCCTGTCTGTATTTTATTTTCAAAGAAGGCAATGGTACAGCATGAGATATTTAGAAAAACATAATCTATATCCAACTTTATTTTGGAAGCTACATTTCTATCACATTAAAACATTTAACTTAATATGATTTACATTCAGTAATCATTAAAAAAGCTTTCAGCTCAGTAACTATAAAATTTGCATGGTTAAGTTGGGCAGCAAGGTTCCCATAAAATTTAAGTCACTGGCATGACAGTGACAGCAGAAACACATTCAGAGTGCATACATCAGAACTTTCTTCTTTGTTAATTGTAAATTCTAAAATCTTTCTCTTTTTGAAGAAAAATCTCCCACTTGTTCATCGAAAAAAGTTAACATGTATAAGTTTGACTGACCTTGAGCTTAAAAAGACCTTGACCATAGGTCAAATTATAGAATTTTGGTTAAATTCATTATTTAGATACTTGAACAGATTTGATTTATACTTGGACAAAACAATGCTTCCAAAAACATATTGGACAATTTGTATGTGACCTTGACCTTTAACTGTATCAAGCATTTTAACAGAATTATGCCCCTTTTTCGACTTAGAATTTATGTTAAAGTTTTTGTAATACCTCAAATATTTTCAAAGTCCATTGACATATGGCTTTGAAACTTTTCACACTTGTTTACCATCATGACCCCAACCTGTAGACAGGAGGAGATAACTGTATCAAGCATTTTGACAGAATTATGCCCCTTTTTGTACTTAAAATTTATGTTAAAGTTTTTGTAATACCTCAAATATTTAACAGGAGCAGGTAACTGTATCATGCATTTTTTTTTACTATCAAGCACTAAGAATAGTCGAGCATTGCTGTCCTACCGACAGCTCTTGTTTTAATTGTAAATGTTGTTACATGTATAATCATATTTTCAGAAATAGGTAATGCTTTATTGAAAAGATATTGTTTATGAAAAATAACTTTAACTTTATTTCAAAATTTATACATCTATGTTATATAGTAAATACATGTAGCTGAGTATTTGTTAGAATACTTTTATTTTGAATCAATTATTGTATTACGGTCTTTGTATCTGAACATTAAACACATCAGCACTTTGTCATTCATTTGGCATGCTGAGATATGACCTTGACCCCCAATTCAAGTTCAATTGTGTAGAAAAAAATACTTCTGTGCCTACTATTTTGTGTTGCATTATTGTGTTGGCAGAGCAGTTTTTTTTTGTGCCCCCACTTTAGGGTGTTGGCATTTATATTAACCCTTGTTCGTCCCTCCTTCAGATTAACCCTTGTTCGTCCCTCCTTCTGTCTGTCCTTTCTCATGTTGTGTTGCACATAGCGCAAAAAGTGTTTGACCTAGAGTCATGAAACTTTACAGGAATGTTAATCAACTTGGTTAGTTGTGCACATGGGTATTTTCGTGGAGATTTATATAGTATTTTTAAAAGTTATTGCCCTTGTAAAATTTGCATTTTTCAACTTGTGTCGCAAGTAACTAAAAAAGTATTTGACCTTGAGTCATGAAACCTTACAGGAATATTGCTCAGCATGTGAAGTTGTGCACCTGGGCTTTGGCTTGTGGATTTATTCAGTTTTGTTAGAGTTACTGTCCTTGACTTAGTAAAAATTTGCAATTTTCAACTTTTGTCGCATGTTTGACCTAGGGTCAAAAAACTTTACAGGAATGTTGATCTGCATGTGAAGTTGTGCACCTGGGTATCTTGGTATGGATATATTTAGTATTTTTAGAGTTATTGTCATTAAGTTATTAAAAATTTACAATTTTCAACTTGTGTCGCATGAAACTCACAATGTATTAGATATAGAGTCATGAAACTTTACAGGAATGTTGATCAGCATGTGGAGTTTTGCACCTGGGGTTTTGCTTGTTGATTTATTTTTTTAAGTCAGAGTTATTGCCCTTGACTTAGTAAAAATTTGCAATTTTCAACTTGTGTTGCATGAAACTCACAATGTATTTGACCTAGAGTCATGAAACTTTATAGGAATGTTGATCAGCATGTGATGTTGTGCACCTGGGTATTTTCATATGGATTCATTTAGTGTTTGTAGACTACTTGTCCTTGACTTAGTAAAAATTTGCAATTTTCAACTTTTGTCATTCGTAGCTCAAAAAGTATTTTACATAGGGTCATGAAACTTTACAGGAGTGTTTATCATCATGGGAAGTTGTGCGCCCGGGGTTTCACTTGGGAATTCATATGTTTTTTCAGAGTAATTGCCCTTGACTTACTGAAAATTTTCAATTTTCAATTGGTTTCATTGTTTGTTTGTTACAATTTACGCCTTTTTCCAACAGTATTTCAGTCATATAGGTTGGTAGTTTCCTAACCATCATTCCTGGAGAGTAACACCAGTACTAGACTACCTTCCTGCGCGCTAAACTACCAAAGCATCTCCTGGGGATCGAATCCACGCCAGAGAGGTAACTGGATTAGAAGTCATCGTCTATAACCCCTCGACAATGGAGGAGGAATTGTGTCATGTTAAGCTCAAAATGTATTTAACCTAGAGTCATGAAACTTAATAGGAATGTTAGTCAGCATTGGTAGTTTTGCAGCTTGGGTTTTCGCTTGTGGATTTTTCCAGTATTTGTAGAGTTATTGCCCTTGACTTAGTTAAAACTGTTTCATTATGTTGTGTTATTTGTTCCTTGAGTGCTAAAGTTAGAATCAACCAACTTTACAGGAATAATGATCAACATCACTATGAAGCTATGCACCTGGGATTTTTTGCATGTGTATTTTTATTCAGTTTTGTAGAGTTATTCCCCTTGACTAGTTTAAATTATTTTCATTGTTCATGCATAGCTCAGAAAGTATTTGACCTATTAGCTTGAAAGTTTACAAGAATGTTGGTTAACATGTGTTCTTATGCAGATTGGGGTTGGCTTGTGGATTTATTCAGTATTTGTAAAGTTCTTGCCCTTTACTTAGTAAAATATTTTTAGTTTTCAGCTTGTGGCACATTCAGCCCAAAAAAAAATTTGACCTATAGTCATAAGATTGACAAAACAGTGGAGTGTGGGGGCACCCGTGTTCTATGGACACATTTATAGTTTACAAATGCAATCCTCTTGACTTTTTCATTTTATAATATTTAGGGAAATAATTCATACAAAACAACAAGTGTGACTTGACAGACTTATTAAAAAAAGGGGGAAAACAACTTTTTTTTCTTTAACATTCTTTCAAATCATTTATTTGTTTGTAAAAAAAAGAGAAAAGTCATGCATTGCCCGACCTAGCTTTGTCTCTTGTTAAGTTTTTCATTATCTTAATCCAGTTATGCCTTCAGTGTATTAAATGTTTATCTTTTTTTCAGGTCTTTTGATGGGAGTTTGATATATATCTCAAAATAACTTAAAAATGCAGCACATGAGCATGCATGCAGAAAAAAATTATTTATGTGCAAGTTGTGTGATATCAAATTCAGCAGAATGAGTAACCTTAAGACACACATGAGAAAACAACACACCCGAGAAATACAATTTCAGTGTAACTTTTGTGATGTTTATATAATATTCACCAGAAAGAGTTGTCTATAACATCATTTGAGAAAACATACTGGAGAAAAACTATATAAATGTGATGTGTCTGATAGAACATTCAGTAAAAAAGTCATCTGAAAGAACACATGAGAACACATACTGGAGAAAGACCATATAAGTGTGATGAATGTAGTAGTACTTTCGGTAAAAAAAGTCATCTGACAGAACACATAAGAACACATACTGGAGAAAAACCATATAAGTGTGATGAATGTAATAGTACTTTCGGTAAAAAAAGTCATCTGAAAGAACACATGAGAACACATACTGGAGAAAGACCATATAAGTGTGATGAATGTAGTAGTGCTTTCCGTAAAAAAAGTCATCTGACAGAACACATAAGAACACATACTGGAGAAAAACCATATAAGTGTGATGAATGTAGTAGTACTTTCAGTCGAAAAAGTCATCTGAAAAAACACATGAGAATACATACTGGAGAAAGACCATATAAGTGTGATGAATGTAGTAGTATTTTCGGTCAAAAAAGTCATCTGAAAAAACACATGAGAATACATACTGGAGAAAAACCATATAAGTGTGAAGAATGTAATAGTACTTTTGGTAAAAAAAGTCATCTGACAGAACACATAAGAAAACATACTGGAGAAAGACCATATAAGTGTGATGAATGTTATAGTAGTTTTAGAAAAAAAAATCATCTGAAAGAACACATGAAAATACATACTGGTGAAAAACCATATAAGTGTGATGAATGTAGTAGTACTTTCAGTCGAAAAGGTCAACTGACAGTACATATTAGAACACATACTGGAGAAAAACCATATAAGTGTGATGAATGTTATAGTACTTTTAGTCATAAATGTAATCTAAGTACTCATTTGAGAATACATACTGGAGAAAAGCCATTTCAGTGTTATGTATGTGAATTAGCATTTAGTGACAATAATGGCCTTAGGCAACACCTAAGAATACATACTGGTGAAAAACCTTATAAATGTGATGAATGTGATAGAAGTTTTAGTCAAACAAGTAGTCTAAGTTATCATTTGAGAATACATTCTGGAGAAAAGCCATTTCAGTGTTATGTGTGTGACTCCGCATTTAGAAACAAAAGTAGCTTTAGGGTACACCTGAGAATACATAGTGGAGAAAACCCTTTTTATTATGATGATTGTTATACTACATTAGGTAAAAAAAGTCGTCTGACATAACACATGAGAAAACATACTGGAGAAAAACTATATAAGTGTGATGAATGTAATAGTTCTATTAGTCTAAAAGGTAGTCTAAGTACTAATATGAGAATACGTACTGGAAGTAACCATTTCAGAATAATATATGTGACTCTTCATTTAGCGACAAAAGTAGCCTTAGGCAACACCTGAGAAAACATACCAGAGAAAAACCATATAAATGTGATATGTGTGATTGTACATTCAGCCTTAAGTGTAATCAAAAGAAACACATGAGAAAACATACTGGAGAAAAACCTTATAAATGTGATGAATATAAATAGTACTTTTAGCCGAAAGGGCAGTCTTAGTACTCATGCGGGAATACATCCTGGATTAAGGCATTTTCAGTGTAATGTATGTGACTCGGCATTTAGCGACAATACTAGCCTTAGGCGACACCTGAGAATACATACTGGAGAAAAACCTTTTAAATGTGAAGTGTGTTTTAGTTCTATCAGCCTAAAGTGTTATCAAAAAGAAAAACATGAGAAAAACCATATAAATGTGATAAATATAATAGTGCTTTTAGTCAAAAAGGTAGTCTTAGTGCTCATGTGAGAATACAAACTGGAGAAAAGCCATTTCAGTGTAATGTATGCGAGACGGCATTTAGCTACAAAAAGTATTATGCGCTGCATTTATAGGTCTACTGAAGGTGGATTGAATCTCAACACAATGTTCCGTTTTATATTTTAATGTTAATCTTTCTTAGTGGAATACCACAAATAATATATAACATATACACAGGTTATCCTTATGTTAACAAATAGATATTGAAAAACAGTAACAAATATTTCTAGTGGAAAGCCACAATGTTATCACTTGGAAATCCAAAATCTAACTATCTAAAAAAAATTTTTTTACATGTATCTTTACAACATTTCTAAATAGGATTTCGTTTTAAACTGACCAATAGAATTTTAACATTTTTGTGTCTTAAATAACAAAATGACCAATCAGGTTTTACTACAAAATATGGTAACATAGCAACATAGAATTTATAACAACAATCATCACCTGGACATTTTATCAGTCATAAGGTTTAACAACTTATAAAGTACAGACGACTAAATTGACATTATCACCTAAATATAATAAAACTTTTAGCACTGTTGATTGGACAAAGAGGAAAAGCCATATTTAATCTTCTGGTTACATAAATATTAATTTGACATCTGTTATTAAAACATATAATATTTGTAACTTAACATATTTGAAATTTCACACATTGTTCTGAAAATTTGACCTTTTAGAAAATGATTATTGGCCGGGTTGCACTGGTGCAAACCCTGGTTATAGTATGGTGAATGTTGGGCGGCGGGCGTCCGGGCGGGCGGCGGGCGGGCGGGGAAAAAACTTTCGTAACAGTTTTCTCAGCAACTACTTATCACAGCCTTTTGATATTTGGTATACAGCATCAATTCATGGTCCCATACTGTGGGATTTGATTTCAGGTCTGTCGCTCATCTACTTCCTGTTTGCTGACCTACTTAAATTTTCAGCATTAATGGTCAATGGTAGGAAATTTTCGTAACAGTTTTCTCAGCAACTACTTATCACAGCCTCTTGATATTTAGCATACAGCATTGACACATGGTCCCATACCGTGGGATTTGATTTCAGGTCTGTCGCTCATCCACTTCCTGTTTATCCACTTAGTTAAATTAGTTAGATTTTTCGACATTAATGGTCAATGGTAGGAAATTTTCGTAACAGTTTTCTCAGCAACTACTTATCACAGCCTCTTGATATTTAGCATACAGCATTGACACATGGTCCCATACCGTGGGATTTGATTTCAGGTCTATCGCTCATCCACTTCCTGTTTATCCACTTAGTTAAATTAGTTAGATTTTTCGACATTAATGGTCAATGGTAGGAAATTTTCGTAACAGTTTTCTCAGCAACTACTTATCACAGCCTCTTGATATTTGGCATACAGCATTGACACATGGTCCCATACTGTGGGATTTGATTTCAGGTCTGTCGCTCATCCACTTCCTGTTTATCCACTTAGTTAAATTAGTTAGATTTTTCGACATTGATGGTCAATGGTAGGAAATTTTCGTAACAGTTTTCTCAGCAACTACTAATCACAGCCTCTTGATATTTGGCATACAGCATTGACACATGGTCCCATACCGTGGAATTGGATTTCAGGTCTGTCGCTCATCCACTTCCTGTTAATCCACTTAGTTGAATTAGTTAGATTTTTCGACATTAATGGTCAATGGTAGGAAATTTTCGTAACAGTTTTCTCAGCAACTACTTATCACAGCCTCTTGATATTTAGCATACAGCATTGACACATAGTCCCATACCGTGGGATTTGATTTCAGGTCTGTCGCTCATCCACTTCCTGTTTATCCACTTAGTTAAATTAGTTAGATTTTTCGACATAAATGGTCAAGGGTAGGAAATTTTCGTAACAGTTTTCTCAGCAACTACTTATCACAGCCTCTTGATATTTCGCATACAGCATTGACACATGGTCCCATACCGTGGGATTTGATTTCAGGTCTGTCGCTCATCCACTTCCTGTTTATCCACTTAGTTAAATTAGTTAGATTTTTCGACATTAATGGTCAATGGTAGGAAATTTTCGTAACAGTTTTCTCAGCAACTACTTATCACAGCCTCTTGATATTTGGCATACAGCATTGACACATGGTCCCATACTGTGGGATTTGATTTCAGGTCTGTCGCTCATCCACTTCCTGTTTATCCACTTAGTTAAATTAGTTAGATTTTTCGACATTAATGGTCAATGGTAGGAAATTTTCGTAACAGTTTTCTCAGCAACTACTTATCACAGCCTCTTGATATTTGGCATACAGCATTGACACATGGTCCCATACTGTGGGATTTGATTTCAAGTCTGCAGCTCATCCACTTCCTGTTCACATTTATGGTCACTGGTAGGAAATTTTCGTAACATTTTTCTCAGAAACTACTAATCACAGCCTCTTGATTTTGGCATACAGCATTGACACATGGTCCCATACTGTGGGATTCCATTTTAGGTGTGTGTAGCTCATCCACTTCCTGTATACCCTACTGAATTAAATTTTCGACATTAATGGGTCAATGGAATTTTTTTTTCGTAACATCACAGCCTCATGATATTTGGTGTACAAATGCAACCCGGCCTTTTCTGTCTTTGACCCATTTTATTTATAAATATTTTTGTTTAAAAGAAAATCATCATGCATATTTATTCATTTATTTTTTTAAAAGAATTTTATCATTTTTCTGCTGCACAACACTTCTCCCTCCTTTAAGATTATTTCACTCCTGTGAAATGAAGTATAAATATGTATATAACAAAAATAAATATCATTAAATTAGAATACTGTTTACGTAAGATATTCAGTTACAGAAATATATTGTGAACATAAAGCACCGATTTTGCTGAAAAGCATAAATACCATCCACTTATAATATATCATACATGTATGTCACTGATTTATTGTAAACAATAAACTTTCAATAACGTCTACTTCTGTTATACTGCCCCCTCTGTCCTTGCTGTCTTCCATGATGAAATTTGCTTCCTGATCTATACTCGTGTGGGAACCCGGTTTCACATGCTGTTGAAAGGTCCTGATTACTATTTCCTCTTTTACGACAAAGATATTTTGTTCTGTCTCTAAGCTGAGTAATCTCATCTGTCAAGGTTTGGTTTTTATTTTTGAGGTCATCTATTTGGTCATTCAATGATTCTGTCATCAATGCTTCGTCATAAGCTTTCTGTTTGTATTGGAGTCTCAATTCTACATAATCATCACTCAATTTCTTATATTCTAAAATAAGTTTGTCCATTTTCTCTAGTTTTGACGAGTCAGCACTTAATTTTTCTTTTAGCAAGTTGTTTTCTTGCAACAATGCTTCTTGAAAATTACATATTTGTGATTTCTTGAGGGAAATCTCATTCTGCAGGTTTTTATTAAAGTTTTTAAGTCTTTGATTTTTCAAAATTAGAGCCACATTTTCTGATTTTAAACCGTGAATTGTTTTATTCATTGAATCATTTAAAGATTGTATCTTCTGAAATTCTGCTTTAGAAACGTTACTAACAGAGTTGTTTGTTAAAATATACTTAAAGAAGGCATCGTCTTCGTTATAGAATGGTAACATGTTTTCTGCTGTCTTACGTCTGATAAAAGTTGTCATACGTTCTTGATCCCGTTGTTTAGATAAACTTGACTGCTTGATTTCGGCAAACTTGTGCACTTAGGCGACACCTGAGAATACATACTGGAGAAAAACCTTTTAAATGTAATGTGTGTAGTAGTACTTTCAGCCTAAAGAGTTATCAAAAAAAACACATGAGAATACATACTGGAGAAAAACCATATAAGTGTGTTGCATGTTATAGTACATTCCGTCAAAAAAGTAATCTGACAGTACACATGAGAATACATACAGGAGAAAAACCATATAAATGTGATGTATGTAATTATAGTTCCATTTCAAAGAGTAGTCTGAAGCGACACATGTGTATACATATTGGAGAAAAACCATTTAAATGTGATGTTTGTGATATTACATTCAGGCTGAAATTTTCTCTAAAGAGACACATGAGAATACATACTAGAGAAAAAACGTATAAATGTGATGTATGTAATTATAGTTCCATTTCAAGGAGTAATCTTAAAGTACACATGCAAATACATACAGGAGAAAAACCATTTAAATGTGATGAATGTTATAGTTCATTCATTCAAAAAATTCAACTGACAGAACACATGAGAATACATACAGGAGAAAAAGCATATAAATGTGATGTATGTAATTATAGTTCCATTTCAAAGAGTAATCTTAAAGTACACATGCAAATACATACTGGAGAAAAACCATATAAATGTGATGTGTGCGATAGTACATTCAGCTTTAAGTGTTATCAAAAGAAACACATGAGAATACATACTGGGGAAAAACCATATAAGTGTGATGTATGTGACTCAGAATTTAGCCATAATAATAACCTTAGGCGACACCTTAGAGTATGTACCGGAGAAAGACCATTTAAATGTTGTGAATGTTCTAGTACATTCGGTCAAAAAAGTCATCTGACAGAACACATGAGAATACATACAGGAGAAAAACCATATAAATGTGATGTATGTAATTATTCTTTCACTTCAAAGAGTAACCTGAAGCGACACATGAGGAAACATTTCTGACAAAAACCATTTAAATGTGATGAATGTTAGGTTAGTACATTTGGTCAAAAAAGTCATCTGACAAAAGACATGAGAATACATACAACAGAAAAAAACATTTTTAGAAATTCTTTGCAATGGGTCTTTCTGTCCAATGAGCAAAATTACACAATTCATGAGTATACATAATAATAGAGAAAGACATGTAATGTGATACAACTATGAAACATTAAATTCAGTCTTAGATACATAAAGTCCAATTGTCCCTTTAAATGTGACTTGTGCGAAGATGCATTTAAGTTAGTGAGTACATTAAAGAAGCATATAAGAATACATACTGGAGAAAACCCATTTGCATATGATTTGTGATAAATTCGACAGAGTAATTTCATGACATATACAATAAATTCTTGAGATGTAAGGTGTTAAAATGATGGTACATGAAGTTATGTTGTATCAATGCACACATGGGAATATATATTAGCCGGAGAAAAAAATTATATGTAATTTAAGTGATGGAATTTTCAATCTTGACATTTGAGAATACATACTGATTTTTAGGGCCTGATGGTACTTCAGGACTTAACATAGTAATGATAGTATTGCATTTGAATGTCTGTTCGTCTGTCCATAGACAAATAGTTTGCAAACGATTACTTGAAGGATAATCATATCAATGTACAGGAATCTTTTAATTGACTTAATTTTTTTTTAAATTTCATATTTAAGAATTGAAATATTAGTATTGTCCACCATGAGGATCTTTTGTTAATACATTGTAGAATATGCATTGTATATTTGTCTATCAATTCTAAGTAAAATATAGAAGAAAAACACATATATAGAGATTAAAAAAAGACATTCTTGCAAAGTTGTATCAGTAACCTTGTTGATATCACATTTTGTAAAACAGGAAAAAGTAATAGACAAATATGAGCAACGATATAAAGTGTAGCTAACTGGAAAGGTGTTCTGGTAAAGTGTTGAGGGGGGAAATATCCTTTCTAAGTAGTAACTACAATATAGCCCTTTCTCAATTTGTTTATTGTATGCTTTCCCTCCTTTTCTGCTTCTCATACACTGTATCGACAAAGGCAGTCTTGTAACCTGTAGGAGGTAAACATTCACACTGCCCAGCGTTTATGAACATTTAAATATTGCTAGTCAACAAATATATGGTGTTTTACTGACAAATAATATTATGTATTTACTCCTATAATAAATAACCACAAAAAGGATTTATCATTTAATTAACATGTTTTGTACATACTACTATATGCCTTGCAATATTTTATATTGGCAAGGTAGAGCTTTACAAACTCTACCTTTTACAATGAATTATGATAGATCTTTTGTGGAAGAAAAATACTTCCTATATGTTTGATTTGGTTTACTTTGACTCTTTTTTCTAAAATTGGATTAGGTTCATTTTTCCTACATTCCATTCATGTCTTAGCCGTAATGTTCTTATGCTTTGCTCCACACCTAAAATTTACAAGCAAGTGCTGAGGCCTTTATCATAACCCCTTTTTTGTAACTTTAATATTTTTGATTCACATTGTTTGTGCTATGAACACTTGAAATCGTAAATAATAACAGAAGTAAAATTGAATTTACAAATTATTAATTAACACAATGAAAATTATAAATGGATAATTACAACCTGGAAATATACTTGTCATTTATCAGATACTTGAGCTTATTAGTTATAATTGTGGTAAAGATGTGTGTTTTCTTTAATTCTCCATAGTAAATTGTAGTATTTACAACAGCAGCCGTGTACATGTTAACCTCCTTAGTCCTAGACTCACGCGATGGGCATATGCCCTGTCCTAGCTGTTTTTGTTTGGGGTCTACCTGGGCTCCTGAATTGCCACTGGTTCTTGTTGCTGGGTCGTGTGGGGGTTGCGTTCATTGGACGCCACCTTTCCTTGTTTGTTGATCTTGTTTATCATATTTGTCGATACAGTGTATAGCTCTTTCTTAATTTGTTTATTGTATGCTGATCTTGAAAGTTTGTCACTTGAAATTATATTACACTAATAAAGAAATGTTGCCGTCTTGGATGTGTTGTTATTTCGCTGCAACTCACGCCCCTTTTGAAGGCCGGTACCACTAAAATATGCAACGGAGATTTTTTGGCGCAACGGACGCAACGGGCGCAACGGGGTGCAAAATTTAAAATGTGGCAATAAAATACGATTAGCAATGCATTTTTTAAATTTATATTAGTATGTGGTGAATAAAATAATGTTTTGAATTATCTATATTATAAGCATTGTATTGTTGTAATACCGATCATATCTCCGTTGCGCAAAAATTCATTGGCGCAACGGAGATTTAATTTTTTCAAAACTAGCAAACAAAGTACTTTTAATTGAATTTGCATTAGTATATACTAAATAAAGTCATATATTGATATTACAAAATCAATGTTGTGTATTTTATTTATTTTAAACATTCATTGTATTGTTGTTATATCTTTCATAAACTCCGTTGCGCCGATGGATTTTTGCGAAACGGAGATTTTATTTTCAAAACTGTGTACTGTTTTTTATGTCTAAAACATAAAATAATCATATAAGTTGGTATTGTAGATATTTTATACATATTTTTAACATAGACTGTATAAGTTTGATTTTATTAGGTAGCATACTGAATATATCAGATTCTAAATGGACGTCGAAATGGACATAATTTCGGCGCAACGGAAAATGAAGATTTGCATAACGGGTAGATCTTATGTTTGAACATAACTTACGAATTTTAGAATAATAATAATTAATTTTAAAAATGAATACTTTCCTATATGTTGAAAATATGATATAAGATAAAAATATTTAATGAATATTGATTATATCAGATTCTAAATGGACGGCGAAATGGATATAATTTCGGCGCAACGGAAAATAAAGATTTGCATAACTGGTAAATCTTATAACATAAAGAATTTTAGAATAATAATAATTAATTTTAAAAATGAATACTTTCCTATATGTTGAAAATAGGATATAAGATAAAAAATATTTATCTAACGGCGAAATGGACACATTTCGGCGCAACGGGGATTATCAAATAGTTTATTGGCATAAACATTTTACACGTTCATCGCCAAGTTATATGAATGGCGGTTTATAATTTAACATAAAACATTGCATATACAATTACAAATTTTGTAATAAATACATGTACAAAACATACATAATATTTAAGTACAGAAAAGTATGGTGATGGATTTAACATAGCTATATACTAGTAATTACAGGCAAATAACAGTGAAACACAAAGAACAACATTGATTTTCAAATTAATATTGTTTGTAAATAAAGAAAAAAATATTAACAGAAAACTAGACAGTATTTCTTTTTTCAAATGATAAGTGAATATATTTAGCTAATTTTATTATAACGTTTTTAGAAGAAGCAGTCATTATACTTTTAAATTGTTAATATTTGGCCAAGTATAATAGTACCTAGGTAAAATAAAGTGCTCTTAAATCAGAATAATATGGACATATCAATAACAGATGATACTCATTTTCAACCACTTTCATATTACATTTCACACATAAATCTATTGTTTCTATCTATATTTCTGAAGCGACCTTCCTCTATAGCTAATCTATGAGCCGAACATCTAAATCTTGAAAGGGATTTTCTATGTTTATCATTTGTTATAATACTAAGATATTTTTCATAACCAAAATCAGTTTTAATTTCTTTATAAACTTCTAATTTTCTAGATACACGCAATTCAGCATACCAATTTTGCATATTTTGATCTTTAATACGTTGTATAATACTATTTAATTGAGAATTATTTAATACTAAGTTTGGATCCCACAAATATTGTAAACCAAGCGGATTTAACAAACGTTTTACATTTAATGTCCAGGCATTGACTAAATTATCATTCTGGTCTTTTAAATACATAATTTTATACATATTCTGATATTACGAATGACTGATAATGGAAATTTACCCAATTCTCCATAAACGGCAATATTTGTTGTTTGTTGACGAACTCCTAAAATCTGTTTTAGGAACTTAAGATAAACGCGCTCTATGTCTGGGCTATTATGAAAACCCCAGATTTCACATCCGTATGTCAATATTGGTAAAACCATTGATTCAAAAAGTTTAATTTTTTTCAGTAACATCAAGATTAACTACATCAAAAAGAGAATTCAGTGAATACAATGCCTTTGTCGCTTGATAGGACAATACCTTTTGAGTTTGATAGTAGCTTCCATTTGCTGATAATGTGACACCTAAATATGTAAATTTTTGTACAACCTTAATTTTTTCATTATTATAAAAGAACTCGACATTATCATTCCTATTACCGGTTTTAAAAACCATTGTGGCAGTCTTATCAACATTAACAGTAAGTCCCCATTCAGTACAGTATTGGTTTAATTTGTTAAGAAGTAATTGTAAACCTTCCTGTGTATAAGAAAATAAAACAGTATCATCGGCAAATAATAACAAAAATATCTGCAATTCATCTAGAGTAAAAACATCAATTGCTTCATTCTCCATAAAAATCATTCATATCATTGACGAAAAATATAAATAGAAGAGGAGAAAGGGGTTCTCCCTGTTTAACGCCCATATAGCTATCAAAATAATCAGTTAGTGACCCAGAAGCTCGAACACATAATTTAACACTATTATACATACTTTGTAATATTTTGATAATCTTACAAGAAATTCCATAAGTTATCATTTTATACCAAATACCATTTTCTGTAGACAAGGTCAAATGCCTTTTGAAAATCAACAAATGCTGAATAAACCTTTCTTTTTTCATGTTTAATTATTTTATTAATGATGGATGTCAATACAAAGACACAATCTACAGTTGATTTACCGGTTCTAAATCCAAATTGATTATCAGTAAATATATTATTGCAGTCAGCCCACTTACGTATACGTGAGTCAAGTAAAATTTGAAAAAAGCTTTAGAAAAAAATACTTGTCAGAGTTATTGCCCGATAATTGTTTACATCATTCAAATTACCTTTTTTGGGAACAGGATAATAATACCTTTAGTCCAGGTCTCCGGATATTCACCGGAAGAGAAAATAAAATTGAAAAGCTTACATAAAGAAGGTGCAAGAATATATTTACATTCTATAAACATTTCTGCAATCAAATTATCTTCTCCTCCACTTTTACCTACTTTAAGTGCTGATATTGCTTTTATAATTTCATCTACAGTAAAATCTTTATCAAGTTCTTCAACTATCATAATAGTTTTATTATATTTAATTATATATTAAGTTATTTCTTCATTAATCATTGTGTACTTTTTAAATTATTGTGTATACATTGTATACATTTCATCAAAAGCAATCCAAATATTTCATAATTATGATATTAAGGTAATCAATTATGATATTAAGGTAATCAATTACGCGGGAATTGTTAGCAATTAGCCAAGTATCGTGCACGTGTATGGCACGGGTGTTTAATGTTTATAACACTTGTAATAGAAAACTTGACCGTCATAATTACTACCTGGAAATTTGCACCTGTTTTGAGAACCAAGTGTCACGGCGGCATCTTTTATGACAAATTTCCATTTAAAGAATAATACTTTGAAATACATGGAAGAACATTCCGGGTGTACACTCAAAGAAAGACAAAATATTTGTGGTTTGATTTATGACAAAATGGAATAACTGAATCGATGGACGATGATACATTAAATGTTCGCGTAGATAATGCGCGTTCCTTACTTGTTAAGGCAGAAAACCAAAGGTTCTTGAGATATTTTGAAGATAGATTACTACCTTTGTTGAAAGAACATATCATTACGCCTTTCAGACAAGGGAAAATTGAGTCTAATTGGACAAGTAACAATTCGGAAAGCGCAAATCATGTACTTAAGGCAGCTGTGAATTGGAAGATTTGTGACTTACCAAAATTCATAGAGAGTTGGCAGGAAATAGTAGACAATGAAAGTAAAGAGAGACTAAGGGCAATAAGAGGGATGGGAAACTTTAAAGTGGCTCGACCATTCGAGCATCATTTAGTCGACGTTTCAACGTGGTCTATGAAGACTGGTGACCAGCAGAAAAATCGCATAAAACGATTTCGAAATGATAAAGGGCGATCTCACGTAAATGAAATCAGGTCCTCAAACGGACAACGAACGGTCATTAAAACCCCATCAGCTGGCAAAAAGCCTAATCAACAAAAACGAAAAAGGGCTGAAAGGTCGAGGACACCGTCTTGTAAACGGCGTGTCCTTTGTGATTAGTTATGTGAATACTGTATATAAAGCGAACAACATATTTCATGTCATGTATAATATGTATATATAATTTCAACTAATGTATTTGTTAAAGAAATAATATACTTTGTGCTTATTATGCTATCATACGATATTTTAATGTTTGTGTATATACTTCATTTTGTTTGCATTGCTTAAATTATTCAAATAAGTTATATATTTTCTTTCATGTAAATGAATTATTTTCATCCAAATAAAAAATATTTTTCTCATTATCATATATTACTTAATTCAGCTTTTCATAGTTATGTTTATTTCTAAAGGTTTAAATATATATTGTATATAATGTACAAATTCTTAAGATATCTATACATTCATGCAGAATAATCTCTTCAAATTAACTTAAATAGGTGCAAAATAAATGCAATAGATTTTTTTATATATGCATTCATTTTCTTCCATCAAATTTGCCATTTTCTCCATAAATTTTTGTTTTGAATTCAAGCAGATTATATATATTTATGTAAGTTTTTCATAATCCCTGACATAATAAGTTAATAATTATTTATTGGTTTGTGTACTGGAAATATAATTTCATGTTATGACACAAATAATGTTAAATATATTTTATTGAGAAATATGTTGTTTCTTTGATTTTATTTAATATAACAAAGTCCTTTTCCCTACCTTATATGGTTATGAAAGTGGCCAGTTATTCTACATATGGACTTATTAGAACCACACTCTCTCATGTCCGATCCTTGATAATAACGTACTGTCGAAGAATGGCCGTGAGCATTGGTTGAGAGGAAAATACCTAA